TGGGGCCCTGCGCGGGAGGGTGCTGGGGCCCTGCGCGGGAGGGTGCTGGGGCCCTGCGCGGCCCACGGGGATCGCCTTGCCCTGTCCTCCCGGTGGCCGCCTCCGGCTCCCGGGACCCTTTAGCGGCGGCGAGTTATGCCCGGGACCCCAGCTCCGCGGCCGCTCTGCGGAGGGTGCGTGGGGCCGGGTCGCGCCGCCTCCCTCCCCGGCGGTAGTCAGCAGCCGGCTTCGTGGGTTCTGGGGTGATCGCAGCACAGCCGCCGCCTTATTATTAGTTCGGTGATGTGATTAGTGTATCAGTCTGGTGTGCGTGTTATAAGCGGTTTTGTGTTCTCTTTGAGGGGTGTCTGTGGTGGGTTTGTTCCTGACCTTCCCAGTAGATACCCTCCGTTTCTCTGTATTAGTGCACCGTTTAGAACGAGTCTGATTGTAGCACTGCTTGGCTCCCTGTTCATCATTACTGTAGGTGCGCAGTTAAACACTGGGAGACGTCACTGAGTTTTACTTTTCTTTCTGTAACTTTGGCATAGATGATGGTGGAGCTACTCCAGTGCAAGACGAAAGAGATTCAGGATCAGATGTTGAAGATGAAGGAAATGAGCAACATTCGGGATCTGAGAATGGGAGTGTAGGGCACCATTCAGAGGTACTGCTGGAACTCTTTATCTAGAGAAAGTTAACTCTTCTGTGAATTGTGGTATTTTGTTGTTTTAAAGAGGTATTTTCTTTTAACTGAGACCAGCATGTTTATTCAGTTGTTCTTAAGGGTCCTGTCTGGCAAAACTTTACTCCCAGAAGGAAATGTGTCAGATAATCTCTTGACCAATATGTAGGCTAGGGTCTTTTTTGTTTTTCTTCTTAATTGTTATAATAGCATTCACTGTTGAGAACTAGAAGAATTTTTATATTATACTCAGTTGCAGGAAGATAAACTTTAGAGGTTTGAAATTTTAAGCACTAGATTATGAAGAATTTGGAATTTTACCTCAAATTCTGCACAGTAATGTAAACCCCAAATTACTGACACATAGACTTTCTTACTAAAGAACAAATGCTCTCCCACCTACCATCTTTCCTCTCGTATCTGGGCATTGACTCTCAAGTCTAGTCTGTGCTATATTTTTCACCTTGTCATTCACAAAGGAGTAGGTCTCTACAAGGAGCAGGTTAAAGTTACTAAACAGGATCTGTTCTTCCACTGAAGTGGTTCTTGTTTTGAGAAACCTCCACCGTGAAAAGGGTGGTAATGCTTTGATCCAAGGTTGTAATTGGGGGACAGTCACTTAACTTGTCAATTGACTATTTTGGTTGAAAAGGGATTCTGATAAAAGTGAAAATTCCCCTTAGACTTCTAGGAAGGTTTCAGAGTTAATCTTAATTTTGAGGAATTTTTTGTGACTTGAAATAGAATTATATCAGGTCTTACTAGGAAGGAATAATTTTGGCTTGTGAACTCATATGTCTACTGTCAGCAGAGTTATGTTATGGAGAACTTTCTCTAATACTCATAAAAACTGTAATCTGAGCCATTCCATTCTGTTCTGTATATTTTGTTGCATTTTATAGTGAGATCAGGATTGATTCTGACTGGATCTTCAGTGGTTATACATTTTTATCAGATGCATTTTAAGTAATTTCATACACTAGCAGGCTGATGTGTCAAAAGATTGAACTCTGCTGTGGTGTAACTTGCAATTTTTTTTCGCCTATACTGTATTGAATTCATACTTCCCTCAGTTAGAAAGTAGTTGAAGTTTTGTATAAAATGAAGGTTCTTCTCGTGTAATTGAATGTAAAGTAGATTTGAATTTTTTTAAAGGTGTTGATAATTACAATGGAATAAATGGATTCGGTGTCAGGCAGCAAATGTGATGATCAGGATTTCAGCATGGGAGAAGTAACTTTCTTTTAAAGGGATTTAGTACGTCTGTTTTAATGAAAAAAAATGGTGATTAGTTGCATGGGGAGTCATGTTGCTGCTACAGTACTATTAAGTGTTTTCTGCCGTGTATGAAAACTTGGTCATTTGTTCTTACTCCTGTGAGATTTTAATTTTACTTACTGTGGCAAAGTAGTTGAAAATCTGACCTAAAGAACAGGTGGTTGGCTATTACTTACATCTTCAGCAAGTCTTTTTCAGGTTATATAACCAGAAAGTACTAGGATGTGCTGTCATTGTTAACTGATCCTCTTTATGTGCCTGTGTTATTTCAAGGGCTTTATTCTGTGATGGCTGTTGATTATTCCCCTTTAGATAAAACACTTCAGAAAGTCCATTAAAAAAAAAAAAAAGGGCAAAAACCAAACCACCTTTCTGTCCAACAGCAAATGTGATCCTTCAAGCCTTAGGGTTTTATTTGATTCAGTTCAAATCA